GAGGAGAAGGCGGCTGCCGATGGGCAGAACGAGTTTCACGATGCTTCCGATCAGCAAAACTGAGAGGTGAGTATTTGATTTTCATATACTGCAATGCCGATTGAAGCAAATTTGGGCAGGGACTACATGAATCCTTTCTTCTTCTTATTTCTCTTCTTCTAGGCAAAAAAAGTGTATTTGTTACTTGTCACAAAAATTTTGGCTGCTATGTTCTATTATGGGTGTATATCTGGACAAGTCAATAGTGGATTTTTCTGTTTAGTTGAGTACTAAGAGATAATATCAACACTGCTCATAAGAACTGAATAAATTACATTACAGTTTACAATAAATTTCTTAGCAAACTTTTCATCTAGATTGAATATCGGACTTATATTACAAATATGTTATTTTGTCTACATTTTACATCTGATTTGGTGTTATCCGGAGTATAATGTAGGAAGAACGTGTTGTCTGTTCGTCTAGAGTTGAACAAACGAGTTTCTCGTAAGCTCATCTCTACTCATTCAACGGACAAGTTAAGCTTGAGCTTGTTTAGCCTTAACACGTTGAGCTCTATTTGCTTATTAAGACTCAAAATCACCTCGTTTAATATTAATATTTGATAAACAAACTGCTCGTTTTTTTTTTTTTTAATGAACCGGGCTGGCACCGCCGGTTCACCTAACGACCACCAGTGTATAAGTTTGTGTCGGTTCAAGGTCATCCAACCCTTTTCTCGGAACCGAATTTGGCCATGTCTAACTATTTCACACAAGAATTTGTGACAATAATTAGGGTTTGCTAAACATGAGCCAAATCTCCAGACAAATTTCTACATGACCAACGTAGTGTACAACTAGGTTGACGACATAAGTAGAAACATCCATTTATGTATTTTTTTTATTTTTATTTTTTTATGTTTTCACTTGTGTTGTCAATCTAGTTGGCAATGTAGTATTTTTAAAAATAGGAAAAAAATAACTGAAAGTGATGGTTAGTTAAACTTATGTGAGTTGATGAATTAAATTTGATTTGATGTGTAAGATGATTCGTTGATATTATTTAGGGGATGCTTGGATATAAAAATTTTTGGTTTTGTTTTGATTTTTTTTTTGTTTGGTTAATTTTGAAAAATGTGGTATGGTTAGTTGGTAGTGAGTATACTGAAATAATATTTAAAATAAAATAATTAAAGTTCATATGATATAAAAGTAAGAGAGAGATGATTTGATGATTAGTTAAAATTATGTGAGATGATGATTAGTCAATTAAAGTTGATGTGGTGTTTTATGTTTAAGAATAATTTATTGATATTCTTTACTTATATTGTGATAGTATGGTTGAGTTGAAAAAAATGGTTTAGTTAAAATAATTGGATTTTTTTGAAACTTTTTTATATCCAAGCATCCTCTTAATTATATTGGATAGTGGAGTTGAGTTAAAGTTGATTTAAATTGGAGTTTTAATTGGGATTTTTTTGGTCAAGTTTGTATCCAATCCTACCCTAAATCAATCTCCCAACACTGCATCGACATAACCAACTAAACTGTAGGAGATTAGTCGTTTCACGCAGGGTGGGCTCAGATGAAGTCCTAGTGATGTTTCATCCCAAAAGCAATTGGTTGTAGGAGATTAGTCATTAAAAAAAGGGTTGGCTCATGTTTAGCAAACCCTAATTAGGGTTTGCTAAACATAAGCACAAAAATTTATAAACAAAAAAAATGTTAGAAAAATCAGTTATAAAACTTGGATTTGAGTCGGTTTTGACTAATTTTTTTATGGCTAAATATTTAACTAGGTTTGAATTAATTTGTATAGAAAAAATCTACATTCCGAGTAGATAATTGTGGTATATTTATTTTCTCAAAACTGATTTTCAATGAGTAAAAATAAATGATTAAAGTCGGCCATAAATAGATACGTAAAACGATGGTTGAGATATTTGAAGGGTCAAAAGTTCTTTCTAAATTAGACACTTAAACGAGATTAACTTTCTTTAATATAATAATGAGATTAAGGGGGTGTATTCGTTTGAGGTTTCAAGTGACATTTTGAGACCTTTTTATATTTTCAGGTTTTGGAGGTATCCTATGAAATCTTAAGCTTGAATATGAGATTTTGAGTGGAATTCTGAGTGGGATTTCGTATAAGTTTTTTCTTTAGAATCCTAGCAAATCTTACAAAGTCTTAACAATTCCTAGTCTCAAATTAGTTAAATATCTTAGGATTTTGTAAGATTTTTTAAAATCTAAAGAAATTTCTCAAGACTTTTTAAGGTCTTAAAAAGTCTAAATTAAATACAACAGGATTAAAGTCTTATAAAGTCTTTAGAAATTCAAATTGAATACGCCCTCTAACTATCTTCAGTGGGATATTACCTACTTTAAGTGGCAGATGACTGTTGCCTTTCCCCTGAATTGGAAGTCATATAAATAGGACATGGTATAGAACTGCAGAGTACACTCATCATCTCATTTATATCCTTGCACTCTCATAGTTTCACGCATATACATACTGCTCAAATTCTCGAGTCCGTTCAAGTTCGCCGGAGCTCAAAAATTGGTGTGCTACAGCCTTCGAGACGTCATCTGTTGTATCTTTGGGGACAAGGCGCACAAACCCGTTAGCACTACACGAGGCGTATATGTCTTACGGAAATATTACAATCGCCTCGGTTTTAATTTGTGCGCACTTGAGTTGTACTCTGTTTTTTGGTTTATAATTCAAATTGTAAGATCTTAAAACATTAGTTTTAGTTCACAGGTTTCCGTATATTCAAAACACTCATTTTTTAACAAAAATAACCCCGAAATGAATAGAATAAAACTATATCATAAATTAATACAACTACTAAGAAATTCTATAATCTCAACTAAATTTAACCTACCTACATGATTATGAAATCAGAAAAATAAGCAATTAATAAACATTGAGTTCA